TAGTTTCTTTTGTTTTATATATAAGAATTCTGATAACACATTTCCACTTGACTTGTAATCCCCCTTCAGCTACGATATGGGATGTAACTGCACAGAGAGCCAAACACATAATACACATAATACACATAAACACATACTACACATAATACATACAAATTAAAACAGCCCTATATTAAAAAGCAACATCTCACAAGGTGTCAAAGGCCAGGGTGAAGAGATGGGTTTTCTGAAGTGGTTTGGAAACAGGATAGAGAACAGGAGAAGATCTGCTGCTGGTTGTCCAGGTTGCTTTTAATTGACGATGAGGATGAGTTTGCTTATTGTCTCTGTGTCCATCCTTTAGCACTGGAGAAGTTGTCACTGAGCAATGGAGCAGAGTCTGGAGATACTGGGATGTCCAGTGAGACACCTTCAGGGGAAACCCCTTCAAAGCCACCAGAAACTGACTGCTCTTCCTAGAAACTGCTGGAATGTGGAAAGGAAAAGAACTGAAAGGAAATTCAGTGACAATCCTGTGAAAAGGGGAACATCTGTTTTCCCTTTTCTCCTTGGAGTGATGTAATTTTCTGGTCATGCAACAATGATTTTTGGGTTTTAAAGTCCATATTCTTAAAGTGGAGGTATGTGCAAAAGGGAGTGATGCTGGACTCTGATAAACTTGGTGATATACAGGATAATAATGCAGGTGATGGATGTCACCAAGTTATCGTGGAGGTGTTTAGTGGAGACACTTGTTTTGCTTTACTTTGTATAGTTACTCATCAAAGAATCTGTTACCCAACTTCTCAGATCTAATCTGTTCATGCTCATCCAAATGAGATGTTAAAGAATAATTTTATATATGATTATCCCACCCAAATATTTTAACACGACTATGTTACAAAAATAACACTTTGTAATTGAATACAATTCTTTGGGTTCCCTGTTGATTTGTTCGCTGTTCATTATATTTCATTATTGATTCTGTTGTGCCACATGTACTTTATGAGGTGTTCCTCACAATGTAATAAAATACAACAAACTCGCAAACTGTTTTTATCTCAGCCCCTGACCAACAGGCCTCACCACTGTGCAGAGATATTTAGTTCAATACATTCTTCTTATTTCTTACTACTGTTAATATTATTATTATGGCCCAAAGAAACAGAAGTAAGTTAATCCCACCCCCATGAACAACACTGTCTAAACACTCTCAATGCTATGTTATGCATTCAGGTCAGTCTTTTTTTATTTTTATTGTCTTGTTTTTACATTTTTTACAGTTTTGGTTCCAGTCTTGTTTTTATCTGTGATATAATTGAAAGCATTTAAAAAAGTCCAAAACATATTTTCCCATCTCGCGTTAACAGGCTTACAAAATGTGTGCAAAAGACAAATCAAATACAATCAGTGTACACAAAATAATAATGCAATATATTAAGTGTTCTTCAGCAGTAAAGATTCAAACGACTGTAAACGGGAAAACCGCAGACATCACAAAAATGTTTGATCATTCATACTTAAAATAGTAAAACATAAATGAGTATATTTATCCGTATTTATAAAGAGGAAACAGCTGCTGCAGACTCCCTGAGCTCTGTAAGTAAGGCTCTCTGCTACAGTGCAGGCTCGCATCAAAAGCACTGAATGATCCCTGTTCTTATAGAGATGTTATCAAATGAGGAGGATGGTGAGTCGTAATAAAATTTAACATTTGCCAATAAGATGAGTGATCAATGTTGCAGAAAATGTATAAAAATGATTTTATTGCTGCAGCTGTACTTCAAATGTTGAGACAAATGTTAGAATCATGTAAACATGAAATATTACTGTTCCATGACCTAAAACAAAAAACCATAATTTTCTTGATTAAATGGACGCTGTCAGTGTGTGTTCTGTGTTCCAGGAATCTGTTTAAAACAGACTGAGCAGTAGACAAGAATTGGTTGCACTGACAATGCAGTGCAGTGTTTGCACTTCATTTGGTGGTTTTTAGTGAGGTACAGCTCAACTACTTGCATATATAGGATGCATTCCCCCTGTAGAACTGTTGTGTAAATAAAAGAATCAGAGGAAAGATGGTGGGAAAGCCCTTAATACTTCACTCGTTCACCCAAGAACCTGTTAATCTGACATTCACAATCCAGTGGATGCATCATAGAGCAGCGTGGGGTTAGTATGTAACAACGATATGTAGCACCCAGGGATTGAATTACCAATCCCTGCCATTAAGTAATGACCTGCTTTACCCTCTGAATAACATCAGTATTAATCTAATAAAAGTAAGTGTTACTGCCCATTAATCTGGCTACAGTTGCAAGCCCATTTCTAAACAATATGAAGCTCATTGTTCGGCAGCGAGAAGGCATATTCACAAGTGCAAAACAGTCAAGTGCCAACCCTCCTATGAGTGGACATCTCAACCAATACAGTGTCAAATTTACTGTTCAAAGCTCAGAGAAGTGCAAAAAATAAACCAAGATCTGCAAACGTCAATAAACAGAACAATGTAGTGGCAATATGTGATGACAAGTATTCAGTTTTTAACACATGCAGTAGTCCTGCGCACATCAAAGTATTTATCATCATCCGGGAATCACTTCAAGCCGGTGGCCCTGGAGTTCTCACACATAAACTCTGTGGTCCCTGAGACTTTTAACCCTCTACAGTTCATCTAAAGCTCCAAAAGATCCGTGTACAATGGCTCTCCACTGCAAAATACAACATCTAGACAGCAGCAGAAATCTATCCACTTCCTGGTTACACTTCTGCCTTTGATACAGTCAGACTAGGAAACCTGACTGTCAGGCTCTGACTGGCTGATCCTACCTGCAACTGTATTTTGGACTTCCTCGCTTTCTTCCTTCCTAACAATATGAAAACAACCACTTAACACTGAAGGTGTTGGTGAGGATGTGACCAAACTCCCAGCTGGTTACAGGGCTGCACTCAACCCTTGGACACCCACAACTGTGTTAATATCCAGGATAACACAGTCATCAATAAATATGCTGTACGTGATCATCCCGAGCCGCATACAAAACGGTGTGTAGAATGAAAATACCTTTCCCAGAGCGGCCTGCTACAGTTTTTTGACATAAAATAACTCACCTACAGATATCAGGGCTCATCGGTGTCAGGAGTGTGGGTGTGAGGAGATGGGAGTGGGACAGCCTGAGTCGGAGGCGTGATGTGGGCAGATTTAGGAAACAGTGATTTATACTTGTGTGCAGAGGTTAGCTAAACACACAGACACACTGTTTTCTGTTAGAAATCAACTAATAGGAGGAAAGTCGAGCAGTTTCTTTCATGTGGACTTTGATACAAGTTTCATTTCCACCCCTCTCTTTTCTTGTTTGAAACTCAAACTTCACGTTTAACTGAGGCAATCCTACAGTCTAACCACTCCAGTGCTCAGGGGCAGATAGAAGTGCTGGCACCTGGACCAAGGCTAACTGGATGTCTCCTTTGTTGTGTCAGTTGACGTGAGGTTGCGAGTGAAGCCCACCCCGTCATCACAGCTGAGATCTTTTTATGTGATTAAAAATGATCAGACGGCTAATGTTTGAGTGACTGTTAAACCCGTGAAATATAAATATATATATATTATATATTATTGTTTTTTTATGTAATATATAGTATAATGATTCAGAAAACAGAATAACAATGATAAGAATAAATCATAATATCAGCCTCAGGATATGCACGATGAGGGTGACACACTGGAGACACTGATCTCTGAATGGCCGACTGACGTTTGATTTAATAAAAACAAGTTGTATTAAATAAATGGTGAAGTAGAAGAAAGTATTCCTCTGAATTAGTTCAAATGCATGTTCATGTGTCCTGAATGTGTAAACACGATGGAATTTTCTATGTTAAGAATGACAAAGAAAATGTAATGAAGGCATTTCAAAGTTTGAACTTTGTGGTAAATCATGTAAATCATGTAAATCAGAAGGATAGAGCGAGAATGGTGTGGGTGAACATCAGGTAATTAGACGTTCCCTGAGTGAGAAGATGTAACGTCCAGTCATCCTGTTGGGATGTGTGTCCTCAGGCTTCCCTCATTATCAATGACATTTGTGACAAAGACACAGGCATACTCTCTCTCTCTCTACCTCACACACACGCACACGTATTTGTGTATAAAGTTTTGTGTTGTGGGTGCTGTGTCTGTTGTCTTCAGTTGTTTTGTGTCCTACAGGTGCAGCAAGTGGTGATACATTGTGCTTTTCTAGTTGTTTCTATCCCCCATATCTACGCACCCCCCTGTGAGATCAACAGTTCAGACGACAGGATCTAAGACGTTCGCTGTGGAAAATACAGTCGAGATTTTGTAGTTTTTGGCTTTTCATCTGCTTTTTTTTTGCAGTGTTGGATGGTTCATTCAGAAGGATATTGATTTAGATCATACTTCCAGCTGGTTTTCACACAGGGACAAGTGCATCTTCTGACCCAGTTGTGATGCGGTTACTTTGTTTGGGATTATTACTCTTTGCTCCTGCTGCCTTAATAAACTTTTCACTTTTTATTCTTTCTAATGCAAACAGCTCGTACATGTTATTCTAGCCTTTTAAAGTAAGCCTCAGGGCCCAGGCTCCAGGCCTCTAAAAACATCCCAGATAACAAGTGCTGCAGGTGTAACAGGTGTGACTGATACAATTTCACCTGCAAGGCTTCTCAGGTTTTTTTGTATCAGGGCAGGCAAGGCCCTGAACACCAAAGCAGTCAGTCTGGGCGAGTCCACTTACCCGCATTGGCTCCGTTGGCACAAGGTGAAACTCACAGATCAGAGATTAGGACTGAAACAGGCTTCCTGTACACAGAAGAAAGCTAATGCTAGGAAACAAACACGTTTGTAAGTACTTTGTGAAGCCATGGTGATAGATTAATATTTTCATTAAAAAACAAACAAAGAGACACTAAGTGACTTTTCTATTTTCACATGGGCGTCACTGTCTGCTGTGAAAATGGAGATTCATAAAGACTGCACATCGAAAATATCAACAGACAGTTTAATCACACACACACACACACACACACAACAAGCTTTCACATTTGCGTCTTTCCTGCCATAATCTGCCTTATTCACAAGTGCAGTATATATTTCAACAAGATCACTCAGAGAGAACGTACTAAATCTGTTTCATGATGTTTTTATTACATTATAATGATGTAGACCTATTATGGAATCGTGATGTTGTAGGCCATCACACTGAAAAAAAAACAAGAGGTGTGTTGTACAGTTCGCTCCTCATATATACCATATACTGCTCAGTACGGTCTCATTTGTTTCTTCAAGGTCAACTTTGACTATAAATGAAGATCAAGGTCAAATGCTTAGCCAGCTTAGGTACTCATGTCCCCAAAGGCCTCGTGTGTTGTTGTGAAGTTTGAAAACAATCTTTAAAAATTGTGAGTGACATAAAGTTTTACTGATTTGGACATTTGATGTCACCTTTTTGTTCTTGCTTTCAATCAGCTCGAGCTGTTGGTGTCTATCATCAGATGCTAGACTGCTAACAAACAGACAAACAAATGGAACCGATCACCTACTCAGTGCTTTCAGGGGGACAATAATATTCTTTTCATAATTTAAGTGCAATACAAGAATTACTGTTTTATACTTGAAATATTGTCCCCTTACTTTATCTCAGTGTGCAGCTTGCTTTATATTTGTACATACTCTCTTTAACACGTGTTTATAATAACTCAATTACATTCAGTTCCTTCGTACGATCTCTCTTTATTAACCTGACATCAGAGAGCCCCTGCCATGTATTAAAATACGAGCTGCATCAAGCAGCAGCAACACGATTAGCTGACTGCTGGAGAAACTATACAGATGCGCCTTTGGGATTCCAGTGTCTTTCCAAGCAGCTGTTTTTCCAAATTGGCAGATCCTCAAAACTGATTTTTTAAAAGCTTATTAAACAGTTCAGGAAAACATTAACAAACATTGTCCTTATTCATTCACACGCTCCACCTGGATACTTTTTAACAGGAAGTTTGGGGTTGTCCCATATATATGTGAACGTGCTGTCCACTCAGCTCCAAAGGGAGATGTCAGTTACTTGTACACAGCGATCATACAAGTATCATTTTGCATTCTTTCTCTGCGAAGTACAGAATGTGAAAGGAAGTCACTGAGAAATGCAGTCACCCATAAACTGATTGTAGCAGTCTGAGATGCTTTTCCTCAGCGCATCGATGTCTTTCCTCAGCTGGCCAACTTCCAGTAGCTTTAACCTTAACTTGTCTTCCACTGCCACCACTTTGCAGTCACTCTCCTCTGCTGAAAAGCTCAGTGCTGAACAGAGAAAACAAAGGAGAAAATGTTATGAAAAAGTCAAGGACAATATTTAGTGAGCCAGATTATGACTGCATGAAGAAATGTGAAGCAGTGCCTTGAAATGAAAATGATTAAGGCAGACAGCACCATACACATGTCTCTCATGCAGTGCAACTGTGCTCTATTGCATTGAGACTGTCGCTACACTTGGGGTATGAATCCATGATTAGGGCATCAGGGCACATGGAAACTTCTTTAAGACACTTATGCTTGACTGGTCACGCCCCACAGCTGTGCAGAGTGTTGGGAGTCTGCATCAGTATTACGACTGAGTTGGGTTACAGTATTTAGTCCACCTGCCTGTTTAATGGGAAGCATATGTTGACTTTCTGGCTGTGACCCCTTGCCTGCGTATTGCTCATGGTTTTACGTGCTGGGTGGGACCTTGCTGTGTCAAGGCCCTTTTAAATAGGACTCCGCCCAGGCTGTGCTGACCGCTAGCTAGAGTGAATGGCCCAAACTTTGTGATGCACTGGCTGCCTGGCGAGTGAGTTTAGAACAATGTGTTGCTCACGAAGTCACGGGTTAAACACTCACGGTCATGAGGTCACATGCTTGATGCAACCTTCCTATGGCGCCTAATGGAAGAGGATGGCGAGTGAGTTCTCTCCAGCCAATGCAGACAGCCTTGCGTGTTGCTCACAGAGCCATGAGTTACACGATTGGTGCTTTCTTCATGTGAGTTGGCTGTGACTCCTACTAACATATTACCAGTGCGAGTTATTGTGCTTGGTAGGTCCCTGCTGCATGCAGACAAATAAGAATCATATGATTGTTGGGTTTTCCTCTGTATGTATTATTGTAGGGTCTACCTTACAATATAAAGCACCTTGAGTCGACTGTTGTTGTGATTTGGTGCTTTATAAATAAAATTGATATTGAAATGAATTCAACTGTAAGCTACCTGTGGTCCTTACTGGTGTGTTGCTCTGAAGTTTGCCACAGTGAGATCCCATCCAGTGGCATCAACAGACAGCTGATGGCAATGCTTTACTTACGCATTGCTCACAAGTCATGAGTTTACATGCTGGATCTGCTATGATGCAGACTGGGTTGCCTGGCAAGTGAGTTTCTCTCCAGCCTGCAAAGACAGCCGAACATGCTACACGCTTGGCACTCTCTTATGGGGGAAATAATGGTGGCTGTCATTCTCTATAGGATGCAAGCTCACGGACTCGGTGAAACATTGCTATGGCAATGACTAAGGAAAAGGGCTGATAAAACTAATCCATGGTGTTTTCCATGCAGGGGATTTGTGTTGCCACCTGCCCTAGCGGGCGTTGCACAGTATGGATGGCTTGCTGACTAAAAACTGCACATGGGCAATGGGTAGCCTGACCTGTCTGGTTAATTGTGTTCCTTTGTTACCTTCTCAAAAAAGGTGAGATCAGGTGCTTGGAGGTTCTGGAGGCCTCCTCAGTTGTAAAGAGTTACCACGTACATATGGAATATGTAATGGAGTGGAGTCTCAATGCGATAGAGAACAAGTGAAAAATACTAATTTAACCATAAAATATTAAATTAAAAGATAAATTTAAATCCCATAATACTTAAAAATGAAAAGTTATTATCAAAATGTACATCCTACAATAATAATACAGCTAAATGATAAAAAATTAGGTGTGGCTCAAGACAGTAGTGTACATTTACACTATAGTCTCTGTTTTAAGAGTACACTGTACAGCTGTGCTTGTGTTATCTTCACATGTGGATTTTTTTTTATATGTTTAAACATGTTTATTGTTACATTTCTTCTCTATTGGGGGAAAGGAAAGTTAGAAATGACTATCCACTTTTATGCATAATCATTTCTATCTTTCCTATTAGTCATGTTAACAAATACATTTGTTAGCTGGAATATCTGTGGATTTGGAAATCAGGCACAAAATATTAAACATATGGACATCATATGTGAATTTAGGTCTACTGCAAGAAAACCACTTATGCAAACAGAAGGTGAAGAAGTTTGATTTCATGATGAGTCAAACACAGCTCTGAGTGGTTTCCACAGACTTATAATCTTTTTGTGGGGTAGGTCAGATGTATACGGATCCATTGTTATGTGAGGAACACAATCTTTCGTAAATAACCTAAAAAGTTCAGAAGGATGATGTTGTAGTCTGGGGCTAGCATCTGTTTATATACGTAAATCTTAAAAATCTGTGTGTGGGGAACACTAAGAAAAAAAAGTTGGGTCACAGCTAGTTTTGTTCATCCAAGTTATAAATAATTATTTTGTGTTTGATAGAAAAAAAAAGATATTTCAGTGCCCTGAAATATGTTGTTGAAGTTCAAAGATTCTGATAACACAGATCTCCAGAAAAAAGAAAAACAGAAAGAAAATCAGCTGCGTAGTACAGAAGAGGATTAAGGCCACTGGAAAAAAAAGTGAGCACGTCTTTTTTTTTCTTCTTTTCCAGAATTCTGAGAATCATGAGAAAAAATAATTCTGACTTTTTTCTAAGAATTCTGGAAAAGAAGAAAAAAAAAAGACATACTCACTTTCTTCTTAATCCTCTTCCGTACTTCCGTAGAATGGGATACTTTTGGTAAATTTTATGTTTTTAGGGTGTTGAATCCAAAAATGATCTCCATCTCCTCATGTTTTGCAAAAAACTGTGATGGAGTTTTCTTTTGCAAAACATGAGGAGTTTATATTAAAAAAGCACAGCAACGATGAAAAAAATGAATATTTATTACAATTAACTATGCATAATTTTTCATATAACAGAACAAAGAAAAAAAATTCCTTCGTGATATATATTTAACACTACATGTTTACTCTTCTTCTCTTTGATGCTTCTCTGAACACAAATATTCCTTCATGATATATATTTAACACTACATTACTCTTCTTCTCTTTGATGCTTCTCTGAACACGCTTTCACTCTTAGAAATGTTAAATTCATGTAAGAAATCATTATTGGATATGTTTTTTTTTAAACTGAAATATAGGATACCAGATTTCAGTTTAAAAAGGGAAATTGTATGCTTAATTAAACCTGACGTGATGGAATTTTAAAAACATTTTTCCTGGTTTCAGTGAGTAAAAATCTACAAGAAACAGTCAAAAAACCCTATGCAGATTTTTGGTTGCAAACCTGTGTAATTAATCAGATAATTATAAAATAGTTTTTGCAGCTGTTTATTACCATTTATTTATTTTAAGTTAGTAAACATTAAAGTGATACACTTTAACAACCTCACTTTACCTCAGCTGTCAATACATTAAGTAAGAACCATCCACATGTATTTTACTCTGGAAGAGGCTGTAAAATTTTGAGTCTGATTCAGATCCATGAGTCAGTGAAACTCACTTCTGTCAGATGACACCAACAGTATCGCCTCAGTATCGCTAAGCACTGTTTTTGTAGTTGTTAGCTCTTCCTTGCCGGCATTACCAAAGCTTTCTTTGAATTTGAGCTGACATTATTGAACTCTGACAGTTATCGAATAAACTCTTGTGATTTTTAGGACATTAGTGGGTATAACGTTAGCTTATAATCAGCTGCTATTGTTGTTGTTGGCTCCAGACAGCTGACAACTGAAATCTTGGAATGGGATTTAAAATTAAATCAACAGCTCCGAAAATGATTTTGAGAGTCCTATTCCTGGAATTTGACATGCGCACAAAGAAAACTGCTAATTGCTTACTAGGTGACTAAAATAAAAAAAAATATATATATATATTTTTTAACAAATGCTACAAATCTTATTTGTATCAAAAAAATCATAAATGTCTCTATTTGTGTTCGCCCTCTAACTACAGTAGGTTACAAGTGATACATAAAGAATAAGTATAAATAAGTATAAAATGTATGCCTACATACATGTCATTCCTAGAAGCAAAGACAGGTTGGGCTCTTTCCCCTGCGCTCTCTGAGCCAAGATGCTGCAGAGACCCTGGAGGTCCAGTAGACAAAGGGACATCTCTTTCAGCAGCTGGTCCACTTCTGGAATTTCCACATGGGCTAAAGAAGACACCAGCAACCCTTCGTCCATCACCTGCTGCTGGTCAGTGAAAAAAAAGAAAGAAAAAAGAAAATATTTTTTAAATATCTTGGAACAACATGTTTCCATGTATCAGAAAACCCACCTCTCAGGGATCACTGCAACTTTTTCTATAATCAGTCTAGCATGAGTGCTATTTTTTTCCTATTTAACATACACTGACAGCTAGGGATGGGAATTAATGCCAATTTAGCGATTCTGATTTCAATAGCGATTCTCATTGGGTTCTCACTGGCTCACTTTGAAAGTAACCACAATCTTTAAGCAGCATATCAAAGAAATTACATTCATGCAAACTAACTGCATGCTGTGGGATCACAGATTTGTGTATGTTGGAGGCATTTCCCCTGTTTATTGGTCATTAATCAGAAAAGTAATGTGTTGCACATATTACACAAAACACTTTTCTTAGAAGTCATGCATTACTTTTAAGTACTGCACTTAATTATTTTATTACTCCCATAAGAATGTAATTTGTTATACTACTCTTCACATTACTTTTGCATTTCAAACATATTATGCAGACACACAATTTTTTTTAGTATTTAGGTATGAACACAAAGCCAAAAGCACAAATGTAATCCAAATAAAATCCAGCACAAAGAGACTACAAAGTGAAAGCCACAGTCATGTAGAATATACACGTCTGTTCATGCTTAGATGTACATCATTTAAACGTGAACAGACAAAGACGGAGCCTGCAGCACTGCTCACCGGTGCCTTTTTACCTATTGAAATTCAGGGTCTCGCTGCTGGTTCAACATGATGGATTATCAGAACAGTTCAGATCTTCATCTGCTCTGTGTAGCTTTGTTGTCCAGATGAAATACCATTTTGAGTGAAATGCATAATAGTTTTGGAAACAACTATCTCATGGAATTGGATATAATGTCTCGAGTCGATCCAGTCCGGAAACAAGTCCTATGTATTGCTCTTGCAACAGTTGTATAAGGATTGAATGGCCAGACACCCCATACTTCCGAAAGACCTCCCACAGAATACTCCAAGGGACACGGTCAAATGTCTTCTCTAAGTCCACAAAAGGCATGTAGACTGGTTGGGCAAACTCCCGTTAACCCTCAAGTATCCTTGAAAGGGTAAAGAACTGGTCTAGTGTTCTGCAACCAGGATGAAAACCGCATTGTTCCTCCTGTATTCGACTAACGGACTCTCTTTTCCAGCACCCTGGCATAGATTTTGCTAGGGAGGCTGAAGAGTGTGATCCCCCTATAGTTGGAACAGACCCTCTGGTCCCCCTTCTTGATGATGGGAACCACCACCTGGTCTGCCAATCCAGAGGTACTGCCCCTGACAGCCCTACAACACCTGAGGGGCCCTGCCACCAAGGAATGGTAAATGGACTAGTTCTTATATAGCGCTTTTCTACTCTGAGCACTCAAAGTGTTTTACACAACTTGCCTCATTCGCCCATTCACACCCATTCGTACAAGCTATTTTTTCTATGCTCCAAGAGCTTTCTATCTAACATTCACTCGTACTCATACTCCGATGGATGCACTGGAGAGCAACTTGGGGTTAAGTATCTTGCCCAAGGATATTTGACATGCAGATGAGAGTAGAAGGGGATTTAACCACAAACCTTCCGATTAGAAAGTGACCTGCTCAACCACCTGAGCTACAGCAACAAGGAGTTGTTTAACTTCAGTGACCTTACACCGGTGATGGATGAGTCATCCCCCTCGTCCCCAGACTCTGCTTCCTCTACAGAAGATGTCCTAGTGGGATTAAGGAGGTCTTTGAAGAAGAAAGTCTTCCTCCACGTCCTCTCCGAACTCCTCCCACAACTGAATTTTTGCTTCAATTAATGCCCGAGCTGTGTTCCACTTGACCTGTCTGTACCTATAGGCTGCCTCTGAAGTCCCACAGGCTAACCAAGCCACCACGACAGGCACCAACCACCTTGCGGCCGCAGCTCAGTGCAGCAGCTTCAGCAATGGAGGTGCTGAACAGGGTCCATTCGAACTCAATGTCCGCAGTTGCGTTCCCAGCACACCCTCACTATCCGTTTAGGTGCCCCAGGTCTGTCGAACATCCTCTCCCGCCACCTGATACAACTTACTACAAGGTGTTGATCAGTTGACAGCTCACCACCTTGCTTCA